CATTCGATTTTATCATAGTCTAGATGGAAAAACAAGAGATGTTTTTTAAATAATTATTTCACTACATGAATCAGATTATTAATCAATAGAGACAAATAAATTCAGTAAGTCAATAGCTTGTAAAATATTCTACGAATATGATGTTCGTCCTCTCATGTATAGGTATTAGATCGATGAAAGGACGGGGGAGGGTTTGTCCACCAATCGGCCCTAATAGAACTTTTTTACTAAGAACCTTGATTGTCAAATATCACCTGAAAGAACTCAGCAAGCTGAGTATTTTTCGTCACAGAACTTGGTCTCCAATACATTTCCTCCAGAAGTTCTACTCACTTCAAGTTCATGAGTTTACGATAACCTTGATGATTGTTTTGAATATAACTCTTTAAGGAAATGTCACAGAGACCAAGTTCTGCAACAGAAAACGCTCACCTTGCTGAGTTCTTTCTGGCTATATATGACACTTACGATTTTCAGCAGAAAAGTTTTCTTGTGACCGATCCGTAGGCACACCTGCCCCTGCCTTTCCTCGAGCACATCTTTTAGACTGGGTTTTAGCATGATTTTGTAAATCTCAGTTAGCTCTATCTACCGTGGGAAAACTGCGATGGTTCACTGTTTCTGGGCAGAGTTCCCTGGACCAGACTGTAGATGATCGGGGTAGTTCTGCCTACATCCAGAACAGTGTTCACCAGGGCAAATACCCCTGCGCAGCATGTTATAGACCATGTTTTAACATAGGCTTATAGCGCGTCTCAAGAGCTACCGATGCTGCAATAACAACCTTGGTTAGCTCATTCAACAGTTGAGATCGAGTGAATGTAAAATGGTGGAAGCGTGTGCAACAGCCTCAAAAACTCAGGCGGACAGAACTTTTTTAAGAAGCATTCTGGAGACTAAGTTCTGTCACAAAAAAGCTCAACTCGTCGAGATCTATCAGGAAATATATAATCCTGTAGGGTCTGAGTACTTTTTCTATTAGGGCCGATTTGTGGACAAATCTTCTCCCCTCCTTTCTCTGAAAAGTCTTTCGCTCAATTGCAACCGTACCCAACTTCATCCACACGCGTGCCTTTCAGACGAAGATTCTGGCTTCACTGATTTACCAAACGGCTACTAACGAACCTTGCCCGATCGAGAATCAGATGGCGTTTCACGAGCCGCGAAACCCTTTTCCATAGCAACAAAGGTGTGTTGACATCAAAACTGATACAGCAACCAAATTGATACAGCATATTCTTCTACTTCGAAAGGTTTCTAGAATTTTTCTGTTAGAAACTGATGTATGGTATATTTTTTGTGAAAACTCTTTATTAATACATCATTCGATGCAGTTTCTTGTACTGATTTCGAATATGACTTAAAAATATCCCTGATCTGAGAAAAATAAATTTTACTTGAAAAATCTATATAAATATCCGGGAAAAGAGTTGCATAACGTTGGATGCACCATAGACGCATACACGAATATCTTGGCAGAGTAGGAGCCGGTTTAAAGATATGCATTACTGTGCGCGCTCATTGTACTGAACACAGCTGTATGGAAACGGTGTTACCTCGAAAACTAATCCGTTTTCTCCGACAGATCAAGACCAAAAGAAAATTTTTTTACTAATCGAGAGCCGAGAGTTTCGTATCTTGCTTCTCATTTCATTTTCGTATTTACTATTACTGGTCGCGTTTCGCCAATTCAACTTTCGCCAATAGACGTTCGCCATATTGGTCGTTGGTGAATGCCGCCGTAGTGATACCCATTTCACCAATACCTATAAACTATTGACGAATGTCCACACGACATTCGCCCATACCTATCCTCAGTATTCATCTAATAGTTCCCTTCGCGCGCCGATAAATTTCTTCTCTCTCCTCCTCCCTTTATAAAACAAAATCATTTTGCTAAAAGAGTCTTAACTGTTGTGTAAGAAGCAACCATTCTTTCTAGTCACTTTTGCGACAGTCTGTTAATTGACATTCCCCAATGTTGATACCCCTTTCGCCCATACCCTAAATTATTGGCGAATGTTCGCACGAAATGTCTCATGGCGAATGTCTCATAGACACTCGCCGTCTATTGGCGAACGGGGACAAATCCCTGTTGCTAGGTCCCGTTTTAGCCTCATTTTTGGGTTAGTGTTTTTCGATGACTCTTAGTAACTAGGACAAAACTTCTTTCGGTATTGAATAGCCCATTGATGGTAGGATATTTTTAGCTATTCAGCACGGGAAAAAAGTACGCTTTGGATTTTTTTATCAAATGTCCAGTCGCTGCCTACTATGTGCCACTTGTCTATAATTCATATAAAAAAGTTTGTTAGCGTTGCTCCTGAGAAGCACAATGTAAAGCATATTATCTTTAAGAACGCTACTAATTTCGATACTCTTTGCTATATAAAGCACCTAGTGGCGTAACCAAGGTACGGCGGCCGCCGTACCTATTGGTACTTTCGCCGTACCCACTGCAGAATTTGGCAGACACTACCTCCAAAAAGTTTTGAGAGGCGGTACGGCCATCGTCGTGTCTATAGCCAGTTTCTGGTTACGCCACTAAATCACCTTGTATATTATATACCTCGCCAGTGTTACTGCCGACAATGACAAACTGTTGGTTATTAATACAAAGTATCAATGATGTTATAAACGATTCTTATCAACAAAGGGAAAAAGTTCATCTTGTCAGAGAGAGAATTCAGTGCATATAAGATAAGTCACAAAGAGTCAGGCAAGAATGTCTTACTATAAATAAACGAATCTGTGGCACAGATTCCTATGTGCATTGTTACTCTGTAATCGGCGACAGTGACGTATAATACAATGTAATCGCAATTTAAAACTATGTAAATGTCATTGTCGGCCGTTGTCAACGATCCACAGTGAGATGATGTGAATGACATCTGTCAAATTTAAGACGGTGTAAACGGCCAGCGGGGTCGAAATTTGATCGGCCTTCTTTTACTTCGAGAGCATCGTTAGATTAAACCTCAAATTTCCATCTTCTCCCGAAATCGGACATGTCCTTGGAAGCACGTGTTTTACTTAGGGAAGCCGTCAAAAATAATGGAATGCGTAGAACGTAGGCACAGACTATATTCTACGCTTAGAAAAAACAGATGCGTAGAATATATTTTTCTACGCGTAGATATACATCGATATCATTCTCTTTCCTTTCTTTTTCGCGTATTTTGCAGAAAGAGAAAGAAACAGAAAAGTTTGCTATGGTTTTACAAAATGGAATAAATTTTCGTTTTCTGTTATCAATTGTAAAATCCAATCTAATCTAAACCTCAGTTATATATTTTTCTCTAACGAACGAAATTAAACAGAACAAATTTTATTTTTTAGTCCAAACGTTGATCTACTCTTCTGCAGAAGAAAAATGGCGCTTATTTTGAGTTTAATGCAAAATCGCTCGACTTAACGAGTTAGGTAGAAATGAATTAGGGAGTATCCATTTCTACTTTTCATCCCATTTGAAAAAGAAAATGTTCGACAATGTGACAAGCTATTTTTCAGAAATTGTCGGGTTTCTGAGATGTAGGACCACCAATATCACTTGTAGTTCGTGGGAAAATAGAATTTTTATTTCTTATTGAGTAGTTAGATCAGTTTTCAATAGGTTCCATCAAGACTTTCCGGTTTTCTCTTCTGGTCATGGTAGGGTACGGCCGAGTATCGTTTTCTCTGTAGTTTGGATTTTTGCCGCGTGTTGAAGAAAACAAATTCTCCAGGGCTAAAATATTTTCAGTAAAATCTTTTTCGGGATTTACAAATTTATCAGTCACTGTGTCGTCAGAGCTAAGGCTGAACAGCTTTTGATCTATTTGCACAAGGGAGCTGCAAAAACAATTAGTGAAAGTAATGCTATGTACTTCTCGAGTATGCCTGTTTTTCGAGGATATAAGATACAATTTGCACCTTGCATCCATTTGTAATACATGAACGGACATACTATGCCAACGGTGGCGAAAACGCATTCTTACAGTTTGTTTAAAGAAGAGAAACAGATCAGTGGTTAAGAGGATGCGTACGAGAGATCAACGTTTCATGACCATGAATTCCATTTTGACTCACGTTTTTCCATTAATTATCAGCATTCTCATTCAAATTGTTCTTCCTCATCAGCTAGAAAATCGCTGAGGATTTTCTAGAAGGTAGAAAATAATCCGACTTTTAGATTTTCGAAAAGTCCATATATAAAATCTCTGAGGATTTTCTATAAATAATTCTCAACAATGTTTTCCCAAAGTAGTTTGTGCTCTTAGATATGGGGAATGGATAATAATCATCCGGCTACTCAAGTTTACATTTCAGTTTTGACTGACCAATAATACTGTTCTACAATCGATAATCTTCGAAGATGACCATCCATCATTAATTCACAGCACTGGAAAAAAGCTGCCTTTGCACAGTTCTTTCTGGCAAATTTCTAGAACCGCTCATACCGTCCACTCGCTTTCCGAAAAAACACGAAGACTAACCGGAGAATTTGTATCATACTTAACAACTCAGCGGGTATGCACTGTGACTTGTGATCCGTCACACGCGAGCATCCATAACTTGTTTAAGGTCCCTTTATGCCTTGTCGTCCCTTCATCCGCTTCGACAAACCCTACAACCAAATCACCATGCCATTTCGAGAACGTCCAAAGTACTGGCAGGCTTGCACAAGAATCTGTGCGAATTGGGCTTGGCGCTGACACATCAAGAGCAGCTGCGCGAGCAGAATTAACAATGTCTACTCAGTGACCATCCATTCTCTTAGTATGGTCATACATGAGTGCAATCAAGTTTGTTAAAATTTAATGTAAAAGAGTTTTATTAAAACACATTTCAAATTGTCTTTGCAGTGAACTTTGCAGCGACTCGTAATTCCTAAATTTTCTCTAAACATTCATTCAATCCAACAAAGAATCATATACATAATCTTTTATGGATTTCAACAAAAATCTTTCGGCGATCGTATCAAACCGAACAGAACGAGTGGTGTAACGAAACCATGACTTTCAATCATAATCCTCGTCTATCTTAATTTTTTTCACTCCCTGAAACTGCTTCCCTTTCAATATTTGTAAATATTCGTCCAAGTCATCGGCCAAATCTAAATGAACAATATTTGGTGCAACGGCTAAGATATCGTCTAGTAATTGATAGCAATAATCATCTAAATATAGACGATTAACGTTGGATAGTGTCACCAATTGTTCGATATCAGCTACTATGGTGGAACAACTGGTATTCTGCACGATACCATCAATGTATAGTATGTCCACATCTGAGAAGAGCCGATTGTTTCCAGTTGGTTGACTTGGGCGATCATCCTCATCTATATCTAGTAAAAAAAATGTATATTATTAAGAAAACGTCTGCTATAGCAAAAGACGATTTCAAACTCACGTATATGTAACCGACGGATATTACTGAGTGATACTGATGAATCGAGCGTGGTATGAATACCATAGAGTCTTGTATAAAAACTCCAATAAGGGTAGGGAAGTGTGTAAAGATGAACACACGTATAAGATTTTGTTGCAGGTCCATGATAATCGCAAATAATATTCCAATTACGACGTCTAAATTCAAAATTTTCACTTTTGAATGGTTCCATTTTCTGAAAATCCGAGACCGACGGTATTTTTTATAACTCGTAAACGAAGCGTCCAAATGTAACAAAATTTTACCGGTGATAGAACGCGTAACTATCAACTTATCGTAAAAATTTCAAGTGCCTACAGTCTTACCAGGTCGAGAACGACGTTAATAAAGTCAAAAAAATGAAATTCCGAGACTTTTGGCCAAACCGATATACCATGGTGTGGACGCTACATGTAATCTCTGAGGACCTATCCGTCGGCTAAAACCCATCTCTTGGAACCTCAAAAATCCATTGTGCATAGGTTATTAAACACGCTGATTATACTGACAACGTTTGTTTTGTTGTTCAGCCAAACCTATCCTCTACCATCAGTTTAAAAAGAAAATCGCATAATCAACACAAACACCCACATGTCACTTCGATATTCCACACACTTTTCACGATGTATGAAAAAAGATCGACCTATTTCTATATCAATTTTCAGAGATTCAAATTAGTTTTCCAAAGATCTAATCAAAAACCGGTTTTAGAGTTTTCTTAAAAAATCGTTTTCGCTTGTGGAAAGCTAGTCTCAGGTGTCTGTTTTCGATTGCCGCAATGTTCTATCTTATGCTGCTGTTGAATTATTAAAAAAAGTGGCAACCTACACTGCATTCTGGCGCCGATAATAGCATACGTAAAAAATGATTAATACAGTGATGATATAATTGCCCGTTCAAATGCTCTGTTTAATCTGCCCACTCAAGCCTACGGCAGAGAAAAAGCCACAATAATTGTTTTGTATTGTTAATGACCAACTTGATGAACATCATAATCACAAGCAACTATTACTTTGTCCTCTCGAATGCGTTTTTATATTCAGATTACATATGAAATCTTGCGCAATGCTGTCGATTAACATGATGTAACCATCAGCATATCTTTTACCTTTCTGTTTGCATTACTCATAATACAATTTGAAAAGTTTCTCTTATCATGAAAAAAGTAACCTTAATGAAGTAGAAACTCATATTTCTCCGTCCAATGTTCATTGAGTTCTTTTACGAAAAGAATTTTTTCTGGACACACTCAAATCGACATTTTCTGCCTTTAAAATGGGATCAAAAACTTTTGTAGAAAATATAAGACAACAACTAACGACTGTCAAATTTCCATATTCATTGCTTACCCAAGACATATTGGATATTTTCACAAAATTAAATTTTGTCACACAACTCAATAGACATTCGGCAGAGAAATACGACTTTCTATTTGTTAAGGTCTACCTTTTCTGAGGTGTATGACCATCGTTTATTTACAAACAAAAAGTTATTCTTAACAATAAAAACCGGTCTATTTATACATGCATTATTGTGCAATAACCTTGAATATTCTTGTCCAATAACCTTAACTATGATCTTCTCCTTTGTTGTACGATTCTAGTGCATGGCAAAACACTACGTCATTAAGGTTACTTTTCTCATGATAAGAGAAATCTTTCCCAGTGTATTATAAATAATGCAAACAGAAAGGTAAAAAATATACTGACAGTTGCATAATGTTAAGCGATAGCATTGCGCAAGATGTCCCATATAATTTGCATATAAACACGCATTTGAGAGAAAAAAGTACGTATACAAATAAAAGAAACATACAGAATGTCGCTTGAACTATTACCAAATGAACTTCTTTATAAAATATTTTCTTTTCTAAATGATTATCGAATTATATTAGGCTTTTATGGATTGAACAGTCGATTAGACTCGATTATTAACACGTATCCGTTCACATTATTCAAAATAAATAAAAGTTCCGCTAATAAGGAAGTAACGTATCAATCTACAAAACTTTTTCTTCAATATCTTAAGAAGAGTTTCAAGAGTTCTCGACATATTTCTTTGTTTTGATTCTTCGTCACCTTCGAATCCTATCATCGCAGATACGCGAACAAATATTACCGTTATCGATAT